ATGATCGGTTGAAAACAATTGAAAACGCAGTAATTTCAGTATCACAGAATAAGATTTCAATCGATTACAATGATTACAATCCATTGCATGATTAAAATCCGATTCCTCTGTATATAATCGGGGTAAATCGAATGAAAATCGACAAATCAGGTCTTCATGATTTTAGATTTCAATCCATTACATGGATTAAAATTGACTGCTGATTAAAATCTGATTGACCACTATTTAATCCAAAATAAACAGATGACAATCTGTCAATCTGAACTTCTTGGATTGAGATTTTAATCGATTGAAAAGATTAACATCGATTGTCGATTAAAATTCGATTGAAACCCATTTAATCAAAAACAATCAGACCATAATCTGTCAATCTGATTTTCTTGGATTGAGATTTTAAATGATTGAAAGTATTAAAATCGATTCGTCGATTAAAATCCGATTGCAACCGTGATAATCAAGAATAATCGATAAAAAAAGATTATTTTTTCAATCGATTTATAATTTTTAATCGATTTGAATCCGATTTTCCGGAAAATTTCGATATTTCCTCCAAAAAATGAGATTTTTAGACACATAATCAAAAATAATCATGATTTTGTCATCAATATTTTTCACTGGGATATCCAGCGTGATGACAATCATGACAAGTAACTCTAGTGTTAACTACGAATTTCTTTGTCCTTCTAACATTTTTCTAAAAATGTTTTTATTTTATAGCAGCTTTCATTCTTTTCGCAGTTACTAAGTAAATAATTCTATTTGCACTACTACCAACATTTGTCACTAATATTCTTGCACATTAATATCAAATGCATTAGTAAAATATAGCAATATTTTATGATTCTCTCTTGTATCATTAAGTTAGTACCTCCCAATGTTAGTGTGTAAGATAAATGATTAACGACTGGTATATGTCTAGATCAATAATTTTGATGTCTGACTCCGTTATTATCTAGCTGGAGAACTCCAAACAATAGAAAGAATTTGGAAGCAGTATTATGATCATCATTGCAGACAGTCCACTCTGCTTGATCAGAGTCGTTTGTCGACGTAGAAGAAAAAATCGTTTAGTATTGATGTGTTTGAAAAACTTTAATGCTTACGAATGGTTAACACAGAAACAGTAATAGTCAATAATAAAATTGAAGAAGTTTTGTAAGAATGTGTGTTTGCAGACTAATAATTTTAGCATGGATAATAATATTATTTTTTATTAATGCTATAAGATAAAAATCAAAGTTCGCTGAAGAGATTATACATCGAAATATCAACCAGTTTAAAAAGTTAATATGATCATCAGACGTATATTCGAAGAACATTCTAAACAATATTTCAGATTTAATTACAACTATAGAAAATCAAAGATCGGCGCCAATATAAATCGTTAATATGATATCGAACAATGAATCTTCACTTTTCTCATTGTTGCTACGTAAATCAATTATTGATCCTGGTACAATACTTAAAACTTGTCATAAAAATTGTATGTATCAAAAAAAAAATGCAATAATAGAAAAATCATTTCATGAAGTATCTACACAATGTCAAAATTCAATAAATACATATACAGATGAACAAACACAAGTTTCACAGTCAAATGAATCTAAAGATACTCAAACTTGTTATATTTATTCACCTGCTCTTAATAAAAATCATCAATCAATGATTTCATCGAAAAATAAACATCAAATGCCAACGAATAAATACATGTTTATTAATCCATATGCAATTATCGATCGAGTTAATCAAGGTGAACAATTTCTTAAATTTCTCTATAAACAAAATCGAAAACTTGACTTAATCTATACAAATTTTCTTAAAAATCTCCAGAAATATACGGATAATTTTCTTCTTTCTCTTCAACAAGAACATTGTTTATATGGAATCTATCGACGAGATATGATTCGGTAAAAAAAAAACTACAATAGAATATTTCCTTCAATAATAATTTCATTTAGGTATATGATAATATTACAAGAACATATTAATGAACTACGAACTAGACTAAATATTCTCCAAGAAGCAAACAAAAATTTTGTTTTATTTCGAAAACATTTTCATAAAATTATACAAAGTAAATCTGATTTGGAAAGTTTATTAAACAAACACGATAAATGTATTAAACACAACTTTGATCGAAACGAACCAAGTATGCAACTAGAATTTTTAAAGTTAATTAGTTTTTCATAAGATAACATTAAACGAAAAGGTGCAATATCATTAAAAATTACAACACTGGACACAGTTTTTTTTTTGGGCGATCTTGTAAGAGAACCTCCTCCCATTCGAAATGTTTTCAAGGCCATGTTGATCAAAAATTCTAAAACTTTCACGGTAAGTAAAGGCTAAAAGGGACCTCAAGTTTTTTCTTCTTTTCTCAATCCCACTATAGTTGATAGAGTTCAACCTTTTTTTGTGCCATCTTCGAAGAACTTGAGATGCGTGCTTCTTCAACCATCATAAAATCTTGAACAGTTGGCTCAAGAGAGTTAAATTATTCGAAATAAAATCTGAAAAACTTCATCGATACATTAACTGTCAACGAAAAGAGAAACATGCGTTTTTATTTATTTGAAGATGTCGTAGAAAATGTTTGCCCTATTAGTTGTAATGCGAGAGAGAAAAATGGAGAAAACTTTGAAACTTCTATAAACAAATTGATTTTGAATAAAAGCGAAAAGAAAATTACAACTTTTCTATGTTTTCGTATATTTCTATCTGCTTTTAAAAAGTTTTATATTACCAAAGTGTAATTTGTGTTTTTCTCTTAATATAAAAACAGATTTAGAGTGAATTGAGACGTCTTTGATCTGTGTTAAATAATTATTTCAAATTAAAATAGATTTATTAGTTTTTGTGAGTTACTAGATGAAACATTTTGAAAATTTTGAGTTTATATTGTATATTTTCATAAAACTAAAGTAATTGACAATTTTTCAAAAGAACTAATTGGTTAATTGATATATTAAACGGATCGATTTTTCGCCAGTTTTTTCTGGTTAAGTCAAGAATTTCGACTAGCCAGTCCGATTCAGTGGAAAAAATTCTTATCGATTCCAAGTAGGATTCAAACATCGAATGTATAATAGACAGCATCTCTGCATCAGTTGAACTCAACAATTTATAATCTTCTAATTGTCTTTGTTTAAATGAGAAAGATTTCTTTTGATAAGACGGAAATTATAAGTAGTGTTTAATAGATTGTGCTTTACATAGATTTACATGTTCCTTTTTGCTCTTCTGAATGATGAAAATCTGTATGTCTCTAGCTTCTTACGTTCTGAAGTTACTCAAAAACAAAATAACAGAGCATATGTTATTTCTCAATGTATAATCGATTTCTATTAGTCTTAAAAAATTCTAATTATTCTTTATACAAGAAGCCAACTGATGATTTAGTGACTTTTAAAACATTAAATGTTTTGAACTACAAGCTTAATTGGAAAATCTTTTTATTGGTCATTAGAACTGATTAGTAAATACTTCTCATTCTAGTTAAATATCAAGAACAATTCTGTAAAATCTATCAAACAAGTTATATTCAATTGCAAACAATTGAACAACAACGTCTTCTGGCTATTCGTGAACAAATGCGGTTTGCTATGAATTTAACGATGATTTCGATAAGTAAAAAGAAAATAATAGAATATCTATCTAATTTTTATCTCTAAACTATATAAAAATTTTGTCTATTTATTTTAGATGATCATAATTTATTTGCTTCAAATAATTTTGATGATTTATTAAATACTTGGGATCATCAACATATCATGTCTATAGATCATTGGGCACGTTTTCCTCGTCAATCGACTATATCTCAGCAAGATACTTCATTAATTTTGCTCAATGAAATCAAACAAGTTGTTAATGAATATTACAATCATCGACAAAATACGTCCAATAATAAACATTTAACATTAAGTCGTATATCTGATCAATTAAACACAATTGATAATGCAAATGATGAATTTCTTAAACGAATAGATTCAATTACATCAAATATAACATATACTCATCTTTAAATAAAAATAGAAACTCGTATATTCATATAAAATGTACGTTAATAATTCATATATTTATTCAATAAAATATCTTATTTCAAGGTTTTATCTTGATCTTGAGTTTAAATATTAAAATTAAAATTTGTAAAACTTTTTATTTGTTTTAAGTAATAATTAATTTCAACTAATGTCCGCGCCAGAATAAAAGAGGGGTGAGTGTAAGCTCAATAACTCGACAACCGCAATACCTAGCTACCTGCGGTTTTCACCAATCGAA